ATATTTATGATTTATGAAAACGAAAAATAAATTTAAAAAAAATTAGGAGGAAAATGTATTTAGTTTTTACTTTTAACTGTTTTGTTTTGTTTTTTTTTTTTTTTTTTCATTTTTCTCGTCTAAATTTCTCTGTCTTTTGCTAAGGCTTCGGAAATTCCCAAAACATCCGTGCAAGACGTAAGGTATGCTTTAAGGCGTGCAAGGATGTTTTGGGAATTTTACGAAGTCTCTGAATATGGATCCACTATCCACGTGTAGGCCCATTATTTGTCGGCCTCAATGGCCCATTAAATATATTGGCCCATTCATAAGAAACTGGCGCCATTTTCTGTGGTTTGTGCATTTCTCTTTACTATTGTTTCCCAAGTCTCCCATGGAGGAGGATTCTAAAGAAGAACTTTGCCAGAGCATCGGCATAACCAAGCTACACGGAAACGGCCTCGCCAACCGAACAAAACCAGCGAAGTGAAGTATCTCTATCTTTCTATCTCTCTGAACACATTCTCACTTGATTGCATTGATCATCGAGATACTAATATCTCTTCAATTATCGTCACTCTGTAATTGGATTGTACTACGAAGTCTGCACAATGTAACTATCGTAACTCTTGTTCTATACGAGTCTGAAGTAGTTTTGTTTATCTCCTCCTAATATCTTTAGCAAGTTCTGTAAATTCAGTGTTAGCACTTTCTGTAGCTATATATGATGGTTTCTTTTTTAGCTATATTTTGTTGGTGATTGCTTAATTCTTCTTGAGCTATATTTTGATCGTATTTATGCTTATGAAGATTTAGTTTAGTTTAAGTTTATAATGTTGTCTACTTTTCTTTGATTGATTTGTTTTATATTAGTATTTTTCATTTATAATACAGTCTCTGGTTTCAAATTTAACTTTACTATGGCTTCAAATTCAAATTTAATTTCCTTCCCTCTGGCCTTGCTCATATCTAGGGAGAGAACTGAAGCACGAATAGAGAGAGATGAACATTCATTCAATGGATTATCCCGCACGGTCCTAAGTGTTGACATGGAAATTCAAAGCTAAAATCATTTAGAATTGTGAAACCAGATCGAGAAACCTTTGGTCATCTCTTCCTTCAGTGACCTTGTACTGTTGAAGGGTAGCTCTTTATTTTGAGTTCTTTAGGCTGAGCTCTTTGCTTACCAAAAAGCATTGACTGAGTGGCTGCTTGAAGCTCTCATAGATGGTGGTTCAAAAACAAAGCTAGAATCCTTCTGAATTGTGCAACTAGAGCTTTATTACGATATATTTTGATAGAAATAAACCAAAGAGCTTTTAGAGATAGAGAGGTCTTGGGAGGAGATCGGAATATCAACGCGCCTAAAAGTTCCTGAAATCTCTCACGTGATTTCATTGTTGTGTTTGTTAATAATATTCTCTTATAAAAGAATCAGTAGTTCGATCATTTCTTTGACCTGTGTAAATTCAGTATCCTCCAGGGAGGCTGAATTTTATATTGTATTTATTATGGTTAAGTGGGTTTGCCGCAGCCTACAAATTGAAATCGCATGGTTTCACCGTTTTGGTGCTTGAAGCTGATCCAAGAGCTGGAGGAAAGCTAAGAAGCGTCTCATACTATGGACATATCTGGGACTAAGGAGCCAATATGATGGCAAGCTTCCTTGACAATAATTTGACTTGCATTTTTCCTCACTTGGGCTTCGAGAGAAACAACAATTTGTAGTAGTCATTTCTTTTTTCATGATGATCTTTCTTTCTTTCTTTCTTAATTGGTTTTTCGTTTTTATTTTATTTTACTTACAGCTAGCTTCCTACACATTTGGAATCATTACAAAATGTTAAAAATTCTATGATGTGATGTGATGAGCGTTTGCTTACTGTGTGTTGCTAATCCTAAATAACATGAACGATTGCATTTCTGGCAGCTGCTACATAGGTCCATGCTTTTTCGTTATTATTATTATGTTTTGACTTTCTCCAACAATAGTGCTAATAGGTCACGCACCTTTCACATGCATGTGAGAACATAATAAATCTTGCATACTTATAATAAATTGTGAGTTGTGGATGTTCTGCCTTATGAATCGAAAACCCAGGGCCTAGATATGTTTTATTTGTTTCTTATTTTTTATCTTTATATCCTTTTCCCCCTTTCCTGGCGTGCAGGGTATCTCAAACTGTTGGAGGAATCAGCAGCCATCATCTGCCAAGTAACTTTCTAAGCATTCTTTATTAGTTGTATGACTCATAACATCAATTTCTATGTCGGTGAAAATCCATCTACTGGACCGAAATGCTGTGTTATAATTCTCATATTCTGCATTGACCTTGTTCTTTTTTTCTTTCCTTTTTTCCAATTTAAATATGAACCGATCATCCATGAAATAGGTAATGAAAAAAAAAGAAAAGAGATTAATATATATTAGTCTTCCTTCTTTTAACTCCTTACGGAGTTTGTATGTTGAACATTTCAATCTATATTTGTCTTTCAACACAACCTATGAGACTACAAATATTGAACTTTTGAACTATGCTAACCGCACGCTCTTCAATTTTTGTGGTATTTGAAGAGCATGTTCTTGATAGATGATACTACTGTAACGTGCTTGTTTAAGCAGTAGACAACCAACTACCCCTTTTTTTTTCAAAGAAGCAGTGTTTTATTGTTTCAAGTTGCTTTATATCAACATTGAAAAAAACCACGTTAAATGTGGATCCACCCTTCTGTCATTGAAGTACATGGAAACTCCATTCTTCTGTTGTTTAATTATATTGAGCTGTCTCGAGGCCGCCTTGGGAGTTGGAAATTTGAATTTCTTATTCACTTCGCCACTTCGAAAACGTAAGCCTAACTATTTTTGGATGTCATGTAGGGCAAGTGTTAAAAGCTCAAACTCACTCCAAACTCGAAGAACTCAAGTTAGCCTGTTTTGGAGGTCAAATGTAGACGCCCATCTTTATCAGGTAAAATAAGTTTCTTCTAAAGTAGCATAATTTCTATCTGTCAAAGTGATCAGAATTTGCTCATTTAAATCCTCTCGTAATCTTGCTCTGCTGAGTGAAATCATTAGATCAATGGAAACTCTTTTGGCACAATAGAGATTGATAAGTTACAAAGTTAGTAATTCAAAGTACAAAGTTAGTAATTCAAAGTGCAGTAGTTCTGTTAGGTAAGGCAGTTCATAATAACCCATTACCTATACTTTTAACTTTAAAAGTCAGGAATATATGTTTTTGGTCCCTAATATAAGACTTTTTTTTTCCTTTCAAATTGCTCCCTAATTTTTTTATAAGCTTCCATTTCATCCCTAATGCATTGATTTTTTAACGCAATTCTAAAAGGGGTTTAGGTCTTCCTTCTAATTTGATGGTTGTCGTAGTCAAAAGTTTGGTCAATTTTTGCATTTAAATCCTTGACTGATTCCCCCCTCATTATTGTATTTGGGTTCTGACAATTACTTATTCGGTCATCACTGCCTCATATTGAAAGCTTTATCTTTTTATTTTATTGATATTTCTAAAACCAAACATCACAGTATCCTTTGTATTTATCTGTAGAAATATAATAAAATTATGTAAACAAAACTAATCCACTGAACTCCGTTGAATCAGATTCTCTTAAAATCCTTAATTTCATCTATTAGGTTTTAGAAACAAATGATAACATCAATGTTGGATTCTTATTTTTCTCTGAGCTAGTGATTTTTTGATATATTATTCAATTGTACTCACCCTCTGCCTGTTATTCAATTTACTTGAAAGATTTTAGAAAATAGAATCGACCTCATTTTTATTATTCACTTTTGCTGTGTAGTTTTCGAAAAATAAATTGAAGGAAAAAATAAAAATCCTCAAGAATGAAGATAAAGAAAGAAAAATATGGGATTTATCATGAAAATGAGAGCCCACTTTTTTTTTAACACACTTTTGTTCCCAAATGGAGAACCAAGGAATCTCACTACTTTGATTTCTTAATTTCAGTTTCTCTAATCATTGTTTAACTAAATTTGGTATATTATAGTTATAATTACACAATCAGTCAACTGTCATTGGACTCTTTAGAAATGTTTTTCTTTCTTTTTTTCTTGTTTAGATTTGGTCTTCATGCCCTTTTAAATATAAGAAGACAATTTTTTACTACAAAAAAATGTGGAGCTTCAGTTTAATCATTTGTTTTAAAAATTAAATAGTGACTAAAATAAATTCTTAGAGGTTGAACCTATACTTAAAAGGCAAAAAAAGAATAAAAATGAAAATTTAGTGGCATGAGAAAAATTGAAATGATGGGAAGGAGTCAAAAAGTTGAAAAGGCAATTCTTGTTGGGTTACAGAATTAATATTGTACATGAAAACTTTGGGTAAAATATATCCATAAAACCACAAAGCAAAACTGCTCTTTTTTCTTTAGAATATTTCTCAAGTCTAAAGAATAAATTGACCAGTCTGATGCCACATCAAAGTATAGTTTAAATTATACATTAAAAAAAAAAGAAAAAAAAAAAGAAAAGAGGACTGTACCAAAAATATTATTTTCTTAAAAAAAAACAAAAAGAAAAACAAAAAAAAAAAAAGCTGTTGAATAGACATGTGAAGCATAATTGAGGAATTATTGAATTGATGGCTGTTTGTTTTCTGATTATTTCCTTTCTGAACATTTATAAAGAAGAAATTGACCAGGAACTGCTTGTGTTGGCCTTGGGAACAGGCTGGCTGTCCAAATTAGGTCCCACATCATTTGATTGTCCTCTTTTGGAATATATCCTCTCACAAACTTTCCTACCAAAATTCATAAAAATACATATATAATACGTGCGGGAAAGGACTCGTGAGCCGTGACTGCGGCGGTTCATTTATAACGGTAATATCTCAAATTAGTCAAAAAGGATATAAACGGGTAACTAAAGCTGAACACGTGCTGGCAATATTGTAAATACCCGAAATCTGTAGGATAATCATGACAACAAGACACCACGAGAAGAAGGAAAAAAAAAAAAAAACAAAGAACAAAACAGAGTAAGCATGGCATTCATTTTTAGCTGGGATATAGAGCTCTCATCAGTGCACTCTACTTTGGTTCATTTGATTTTCTCGATCCCCACTTGGTTCATTTGCTCCAAAGAGGAATTTTGACCTCTTTCATGTCAGAGGCGACCTCCTCGTTGTTGTAGTTAATGCTCTCTCTGTGTGAGTTCTGGTTTTAAGAGTACACTTTCAACTATCTCCACCAATTATTATCTCTTCTCCTCCTTAATTTGCCTTCTTCTTCTACTTCTTCTTCTTCTTTTTTAAGTGCTCTCTTTACTCTACTTTATCACTTTGTTTGTTTTCTTCTCTGTTTTTTAGAATTTGATCCTTCCAACACATTGTTTGTAATCATCAGCTTGAGTTTTTGTATCTTGTCTTGTGAATTCTATTGCAGCTTTTTCATCTTTGAGCATCTGTTTGCTGCGGGAATTGTACTCTGTTTTGAAGATTCTCTTCCTTACTCGTATTTACTCTGTTTTTTCCTTCTCTCGCTTGCTCTCTTTTGAGGGCTTAACTTCATTACCTTTGTATTGTCTTCTTGAGTGGAGGGTTAATTCCCGACTTGGAGAGTTTCCCCAGGCAGTTCTCTTTTTCGAATTTCTGTCAAAAGTTTTCCAGGTCGATACTATGTGGCTAAGACTAAGAATTCTTGATTTAGTTCTTCGTCTTCGATCATCTTGTTGATTAACCTGCTAGTTTCAGAGGTTTCTCAAATGGGTTCTCTGCAACTTTACCTTATTGTCAGTCTTTCATGGGCTTTTTTCTTTCCCTATACCCATCAGCTACAATCCTCTCAGACCCAAATCCTGTTGCAGATCAGGAAACATTTGGAGTACCCTTCTTCCTTGGAAGTTATGAACACTTTCGATGGTGACCTCTGTAATGTTTCCCCATCTCGAGAGATGACCATTGCGTGCCAGAACAATGTAGTGACTGAACTCCGAATTATGGGGGATAAGTTTGTCAAATTTAGAGGGTTCAATGGGGTTCCAATTCCAAATCAAACTCTATCTGAGAGATTTTCCATAGGTTCCTTCGTTACCACATTGTCAAGGTTAAGTAGCTTGCGGGTTCTTAGCTTAATTTCTTTGGGAATTTGGGGGCCACTTCCTGAAAAAATTCATCGCCTCTCCTCTCTTGAGTTCTTGGATTTGAGCTCAAATTTCATATTTGGTCAAATCCCACCTAAAATTTCTACCATGGTTCAACTCTATTCAATGGTTCTCGATGGTAATTACTTCAATGATACAGTCCCGGATTGGCTTGACTCCTTAACGAACCTTACCTTTTTGAGCTTGAAAAGAAATAGACTCACCGGTCAATTTCCCTCTTCATTATGCAGAATTAGAACACTAGCCGACGTTTCTCTGTCTCACAATGAAATTTCTGGGGAATTGCCCGACTTGAGTGCTTTGACCAATTTGAATGTGTTGGACATGAGAGACAATAAGTTAAACTCTGTTCTTCCAGTCATGCCAAAAGGACTAGTTACACTTCTACTTAGCAAGAATGCGTTATCTGGCGAAATTCCTAAGCACTTTGGTCGGATGGCTCAGCTTCAACATCTTGATCTATCATCCAATCAACTGACGAGGTCACCACCTCCTTTCTTGTTCAATTTGCCAAACATTACATACCTTAATTTAGCTTCAAATAAGATGAGTGGATCCCTTCCAAATCCTCTAAGGTGCAGTACAAAACTTGGGTATGTTGATATTTCAGACAACAAGTTAACTGGAGCTCTTCCCACTTGTTTGGGAAGTTCTTCAGACAAGAGAATGGTTAAATTTGGTGGGAATTGTTTTTCTTCTGATTTGCAACATCAGCATGAAGCATCATTTTGTGCAGAATCCCTTACAGAGACCGGAAAATCTAGAAGAATAGAAAAACTGTTGATTGTTGCTGCCTTCGTCAGTGGAGCTATAATTCTTATCGTGCTTTTACCCTTTGGACTTATCTTTCTGTACCGAAGGCTCTGTAAAAGAACAGTACAAGAACTGTCGGTACCGCCAAAAGTTGTACAAGAAAATTCAACTACTGCAGTTCCATCTGAGCTATTAGCAAGTGCCAGTAAGTTGTCTGTTTGTAGGCAGTAGGCTACATTTCATGTCTTAAGATTTGAGAGGAATTGTTCTTTTGCAGGGTTCATTTCTCAAGCTATGAAGCTAGGTGCCCAGACTGTTCCAATGTGTCGATCATTTTCTTTTCAAGAGCTAAAGGATGCTACAAAAGACTTTGATAAATCAATGCTCTTGGGAGAGGGTTCTATAGGAAAGGTATTCATAAAAACTTCAATTTTCATATAGAGGTTTTGATTCTATTAAGATTTTCAGTTTTTGGTAGTCTTAAATCTTTATTCACTAGCTTTGATTCTTGGGAGTCATGTCAACCAAAAGTTTCTCTTACCTGTCTTTCATCTTTGAGCTCATATAGTTCATATAGTTCATTAAGGGATTTCAAGTTTTCACTGTTTTCTTCTTCAGCTCTATAGAGGAAAACTGGAAAATGGGACTCTTGTTGCTGTAAGGTGCTTACCTTTATCCAAGAAATATTCAGTACAAAACCTTAAAGTTCGGCTGGATGTTCTTTCGAAGCTTCACCACCCCCATTTAGTTGGCCTCTTTGGTCACTGTATTGAGGGAGACGGACATGACTACTCAACTGTCAAGCAAGTTGTTCTTCTTGTATACGAATACGTGTCAACTGGGAATTACCGCACTCTTTTGACAGGTTAGTCAAGATTATTGAAAGAAGTAGTCCAACGTTAACTCATCAAGAGGAAGAGGAAGATTGTGAGTTTATAAGTAAGAAAATCCAGTAGTATAAAGCCTTTGGAAAAACCAAAAGCAAAGTCACGAGAGTATATACTCAAAGTGTACATTATCATCCACGAGGTAGGTGTGTGGTTCCATCATTGAAAATCAAAATTTGAAACAGTAACTTCTTTGGTTGTTGCAAGAAAATCTTTGTTGTGCAACATTTAGCACACTGTCACTTGGTTCTTACATCTAAACCAAATGCAGCCTTGAACATGTTTTAGGTTCTTTTAAGCTTTGCATTTATGGTGGAATGTTCATATTGCCATTTATCTGATATTTTAAACGCAGAAACTTATCCAGAGAAGGTCTTGAAGTGGTCAGATAGGTTGACAATTTTGATTGGAGTTGCCAAGGCCATTCACTTTCTGCATACAGGGGTCATTCCTGGTTCGTTCAATAATCGTTTGAAAACAAACAATATATTGCTTGATGAACACCGAATTCCAAAGCTTAGTGACTATGGCACATCGATTATCACCGAAGAAATTGAAAAACATGAGGTAAGTTAGCTTGTAGCCCTTGGAGTTTGGTCCAACATTTCCAGTGATATTGAGACATTTCTACTGGCTTCTTTTGTTTTGTTAAGTGAACTTATACTCTATCCGTTCATTTTTTGTAGGCAAAGGGAGAAGGCACAAAATCAAGGTAAGAAAACCACTGAGCTAAGCACAAATATTATGCATTGTCTTCTGTTATACGAATAATCTGTTGAAGATGGTTGGAAGAGGAGTCCCACGTTGGAGATAGTCTCGTGTTGATCATGGATTTATAAGTAAGGAATACTATCTCCATTGGTACGAGGCATTTTGGAGAAACCAAAAGTAAAGTCATGAGAGCTTATGCTCAAAGTGGATAATATCATGCCGAAAAAAAAAAAATTTGATCTTCCAGTTATTCCCTTCATTTCAATGGATGCTTGCCGATGCTTCCAGATAGTTAGCGTTTTAACTTTCATGGTGTTTGGATGCTGCAACAGGAAAAACTTGGTGGAGGATGATGTTTACAATTTTGGATATATATTACTGGAATCACTTGTTGGGCCTATAGTAACTGGAAGAGAAGAAACATTTCTTCTAAATGACATGGTATATATATAACTTTGTCTCTTTCCATTCAAGTTCATCAACTAAAAAGAGCAGAAGAACTAGCTGATTCTGTTGTTTGTGGTTTCTGAATCCCTTGTGTATGAAACAACGACAGGCATCCTTCGGCAGCACGGATGGGCGGAGACGAATCGTCGATCCAGTCGTGTTGACCACCTGCTCCCAAGAGTCATTATCAAGAGTTATATCTATCACGAAGAAATGCATATCGACCGACGTATTGTCTCGGCCCTCATTCGAGGATGTGCTGTGGAACTTGCAGTATGCTGCTCAAGTCCAGGCCTCTACTGATGCTGAGCAAAAGTCTGATTCCATATCTTAGCAGTACATATTACACGTTAGAGTCTTGCTAATTAAAAGAAAAAACTAGATATATAATATATAGAAAAAATCAAAAGTAAAGTCATGAAAATTTGGGTTCGAAGTGAACAATATTATGTCACTGTAAAGTCATGAAAATTTGAATTCGAAGATTCAAAATTTGGGTTCATATTACAAGTTAGAGTCTATTATTATCATTTATCTGACTAACTTATTTTTATAGTTCAACATCACATGCATCAAGAAGATTCAAATTCATGAACTAATGACGGAGAATATGTATATATTATTTCATGTTTTTACAGAGAAAAGGAAACTGTCAAAGCCGCCAGAACTTGCCATTTGCGAACCGTTTTAGACAGAAATGTAAACGCAGACGAAAAGCGGAGGGCTTATGAAGACGTTTTTTTTTTTTTTGGAACTTGCCAAATATGGGAAATAATTGATGTTTAAAAGGGGTAACATGGTAATTTCAATATTGTCAAAAGGTCCTATTAGTCTATAAAAATAGAAAACCATCCCAAATCTCTTGAATAATACCGTTTTTCTTTTTTCTTTTTTTACGATTCTTTAAACAAAATTTTGTTGGCGGAATTAGGGCTTTTCCCACGTTTTCCTCCCTTCTCCGTCAATCTTATACGCACAATTGTTTATTCTTGAACAATCGCTGAAGAAGCCCACCTTCTTCAAATTCTAGAAATGGTCATCCACCTGCTCCACGAGTTGACGGCAACCACCATTTTCATTTGCCAACTTCTTCGCCGGTCAAACTGCGGTAACGTAACGCGCATTCCCTTTCATATAACTGCATACCCATGTTTCCCCAATTCTCCATTCTCCATTCTCATTTCTCCTAATTCACTCTCGCTCTCCACGCATTCAGAATTATGGACAAAATCGCATTGTACGAGAAGGTGTTCAAGCAGGTCGACGGCGACGGTGACGGGAAGCTATCTCTCCCGGAGTTGCAGCGGTGCATGGCGGTCGTCGGGGGTAGCTTGACACTGGAGGAGGCGGAGAAGGTGGTGGAGAATTTGGATTCCGACGGCGATGGGTTGGTGAGCTGGGCTGAATTTGTTGCGTTTATGGAAGGAGTAGGAGAGGAAGAGAAAGTGAGTGATTTGATGGAGGCGTTCAGAATGTATGAAATGGATGGCTGTGGATTCATAACCACTAAGAGCTTGAAGAGGATGCTGAGTAGGCTTGGGGAATCCAGGAGCATCGAGGAATGCAAGAAGATGATAGCTAAATTTGATCTCAATTCTGATGGTGTTCTTAACTTTGATGAGTTTAAGTTCATGATGTCCTGATTTTCTTCCATTTTTATGTGTTCTGAACTTGGATTTTTGGTCAACAGTTATATATGATGTACTCTTTCTCCTTGTGTTCTTCAATGGTTTGCATTCTCTCTCATAAACTAAAAACTAAGTATAAAATGAACACTCATCAGCTTACCATAAATTACATAAGAACTGCAAGTGAAGGCTGAGTTGAATGAGGTTGTTTGTTTATGGATTTGTTTCAGAAGCCTGCAGCCCCTTCACAAGAGGCTTTGTGGAGCTTTCGCAGCTTACGCTCTGATCGCCTTCGGGCAATTCTTCGACCAATCTCGATAACCTGTCGAAAACTTCTGCGGCGCTCGGACGCAACGAATGGTCTTCCTCGACACAGGATCTGGCAAGTTTTGCCAATTTGAAAGCAGCATCAAGTGCATAGCTATCCCCCAGTGCACTGTCCATCCATTCCCTCAGTTCATCTGCTGCATTATCTGATTCCATGATGGCCTTGATCTTCTCTGTTAACCATACACTGCCTTCTCCTTTGGCATTTGGCTTTGTTATTGGTGTTTTACCAGACAAAATCTCCAACAGAACAACCCCATAAGCAAATATATCAATGGTTGGGGAAATTATACCTTGGTGAATGTACTCAGGAGCCAAATAACCCAAGCTCCAAGAGGCTGGATTGGAAGAACAGAATTTGGGGTCTTCAATCTCATTTTGAACACATCTTGCCATTCCAAAATTCCCAATCTTTGCATTGAAATCCTCATCTAAGAAAATGTTTCTGCTCTTTACATTGCGGTGAACGTAAACCGGTTTCATAACGTGGTGCATATGCTGTAGCCCGGCTGCGACGTCCAGACAGATCCGCAGTCGCTGACTCCATGTTAAGAAGCAATAGCAAGAGGTGATGAACTGGTTTTTCATTGCCAATCCACCGTGAAGCCAGTCCTTCAACGATCCATTTTTCGCATACTCGAAAACCAGAAACGAATCAGGATCCTCGGTTAAACATATTCCCAAAAGCCTCAATATGCTAGGATGTTTGATATCATGTAAAAGGCTAAACTCAATCTTGGAGACGGTTTCGTTCTCCGTCCTCTTGATCGCCATGTTCTTCCCGTTGAGACGTCCTTGATACATCGATCCCTCTATCTGATTACTCGTATTGAAATTCTCGGTCGCTCTCCTGATCTCCTCAACTGTGTACATCGCAATGAGCATCTTGCTTGCATTTGATTCCAGGAGGTGACTATCAAAAGTGTCTTGAGATCCCTCAAAAGAGAATTTCTTGTCGCTTGCCGTTCTAATACTGAGACTAAGCTGTTGTAGCTCCATTTCACCTCTTTCATATGACTTCTGTGTCTTCTTCTGCTTGTTTTTCTTCAGCTTGATTACCAAAAAGCATGCCATTGCAGCAATGCTCACCCCAAGTATGACACCACCAAGTGCAATGTAAACACCAAAATGCACCATTTTTGCTGTATTCTTGTGTGAGTTGATTGAGGGGATGCTGGTGGAAGGAGAACGCAAATCGGGCCGATGCGGTTTCGCCAAAGAACCGAGGATCGGCTCACCATTCACCGGAATCAGAAGGGTTGAAAACGGTTCAAGCCTTTCTGGTTTGAAGGTAGCTAAGGATCTGCTATTAGCAGATATAATAGATTCAGGAGTTGTATTGAAGTTTGTAGCTAAATTGGAAAGTGTGTCACCTTGTCTCACAGGGTAGGAAATCAAGAGCCTTGGCTTTGGACCACCACCTGCATAGGAAGATGGACAGCCACATCTCATTGGTATCAGTAACCGAGCGGAGTCACCGAGACCCCACGGCGACACCCCCATATTCTTCTCCTTTATTGCTCTGCAACTTGTTAACCCCTCAAGTGATTCAGCAATACTGTAAAAGCTCTCTCCTTTAATGGCAGTTTTTGTCAACCCAGCTTGGAAGAAGCTGCCATTGCACTTACACTCAATGGGTATCAGCAAAGGCTGGTTTAAAGGAAGCAACTCTGTGTCAGCAGAGAAGCCATTGATTTCAGCAATGGCAAATTGGTTGATCCCCAAGTAAAAGCTGAGGTTAAAGAGAGACGAAAACTGCGAGTTCGCGAAAAGAACTGCAAATGTTCCGCACTGCACCAGAGCCTCGTTTCCATTGCAATGGAAGCCGAAGGCATCAGGCGACGTGGAATCACAGCTCAACGAGCTCTCTCCAAATGCAGAGGAAACCAACCAGATGAACAAGATAAGAGCTCTCAACAACAGCACGCTGATAACAATAGCCATTTCCAAGAAACAAAGCTTCCACAAAAGCACAAACCAGTTAAAAATTGAAGGGGATTTATCCCTCTCGGATCCAGAAGGGGGCATTTGAAAAGATGAGAAATTCTGTCATGGGTGTTGGAGGACAAGATCTTTTGGGGGACACGAACAAGAACTGCTTATACATTTAACCAATCAACTTTGATTCGATTCGATCCGATATGGGATGGTTATTAATCCAAGTTCTTTGCATTGTTTACTCATTGGGTGTGATCAAAACCGAATCTATATACCTGCTATATATTTCTACACAAAACATTGGGTTTTTCGTTGCTCGTTATTAGATTGCTTCAAGACTGCGGTCCCATTTGATTCAACACAAAGTCAAAAGTTCATCGACTTATTAAACAAAATCTGCCTAAAATACCTAACAAAAATGGATCGAAGCAAAGTTAATTGTTGTTCTTCTAATCTCTAAGGAAATGCACACAAGAAATCAAAGAACTTCAATGTTGAATTGATGAATTTCTTGAGCAAAAGGCTACATAAAAAGTATATAAACAACCCATTCTTCAATAATTTAAGAAACATTTTGATGCAGCATAAATACCAACTCTATGGCTATAACATAACTTTTAAAATGGGACTACATGTTCAATCAATAATCCAGCCAAAGGAATTGTGAAGCCTCAGCCAACCCTACCTACTTAGCCTTTTAATTTGATTCCTGCCCCTTTCTCTAAAAAGCTATGATGCTTAGGGGTTGCCTTATTTTTCATTCTTATTCAATTTCCATAATAATGAGGTATGATGTGAGGCCATTTCCATTGACAACCCTTCTCTCCTTAATTATTACCTTTACCACTCGGAAATGACCCATGAATTTACTTCTTACCATCTTTATTTCGATCCTATTCCTAGTCTAACAATATGAGGATAGAGATTTGAACGTCTTATCTATAGAAAAAAGTTGTATGGATCAAATAAGTTATGCTCGTGCTGAGTCTAAACATCATTACTACACTGATATTGACGAATGTATTTAAAAAAGTTAACATATTTCACTAGCAGGTACGGTCAATCAGAGATGCACAGTAACTTATAAAGAAATAATAGGTTTTGGGAAGAAATGAAAGGATCATAGAAGTGTTTGTTTGTTTTGATTAAGGCATTGGCCAAATGAAGTTATACGTAGACTAAGAATAAAGAGAGAAAAGAAAGATAAGAAAAGGCATTTGTTTCATGCATGCTAAAGCTGAGGCATGAAATGTTGGGGATGTCTTTTGGGTCAAATTCTCCATCACTACTCTAAGTTGACAAGCAGAACCAATAACCACACACACAGAATAATTATTAGCATACAGAACCTAGCAATCTTCTCAGTATGTGAGCTCGAGCTTGGATGAGCTCAACACGAACTATAACTAAGTCCAAATCTTATTTTGGTCTCGGAGAAGATAAAATTTTTGCGGGTATTGATCTTGTTCCACTTACTATTCCAATCCTGTCTATCTTGATCATAATCTATCTGCATAAAATGATATTAGTGACATAATCAACTGGAAAGGTCGGCATAGCTTTACTGAGAAAAAAAGGTGGAATATGGACACTGCAAAAAGAAGATAATAATAGACAGAAAGTTGGTTCTCCATAAAGTGTGAGGAAGAGGATGTTTTGGTATTGGGGAGCATCAGTTGGATTCCCATTAAACCTAATCAACTGGGACAGGATTCACATTTCAATCATACTTCCATTTATATTATTACTTCATTTTTTTTTATAATAATAATTTAATAGAAGTTAAATTATTATTGCGATGCCCGAATAAATGAGAAAAGTACATGAATGAACTGAAATAACATCCGAATGAAAATGACTGTAAAGAGATATGATACTTAAGAAAAGGCTTAAAAGTAATAGAAAGTTTCAACCGTAGGAGCTTCAACGTAATTCTATGTTGGATGATCTCTTGAATCTTTTTTTAAGCAGCATATGAGTGAGGACAAAACACGTTGAAAAGATCATTATGGAGCGGAAAATGGAAAATGAGAAAAGAATATGATAAAGAAAAGAAGGAAGGAGAGAGATGGAAGCAGATGGGGCATGTGAGGGCATGTGCTATGTAAGGATCCCTAATCTGTCTCTGGATGTTAAAAATCTTGGAAAAACAAGAACAAGAATATCAATATCTGGGAATTGGAGTCAGAGAGACATACCATCGGCCGAGGAATGAAGGGGGCTCCTCCCTTCCCTTGGTCAAGAGATGAGACGTAACCTCCTTCGCTTTCATGCGCTCATTATTCCTTAGTTCTTGAGTGACATGCTCAACTCCCACTCCAATGCCTTCTTATTTTCCTTCATCTTATTTTCCTTCAACAACCACACCATTAGTTTCTCAAATCTATACATAACATAAACGCTTTAAAAATCATTCCAAACTTCCCTTAAATCAGGAACCCATACTCTTTTCTTAACTCTCTAATTTATTTCATAATCATCTTAATCCATAGAAGTTATACATCAAGTGTATAACGAGATCTATCAGTGATTTATTGGGGACTCACAAACCATCAATTCAACTTCAGTCAATCTAAAAATGTCCCATTTGGATTGAAAAAAGTGTATAACAAGATATATTCTTGAAGCTTGTAAAAAGATCAAGAGTTCAGCTGGGCCTCCTCAACACTTTTCCTCAGAACAGATATAACTTCGGAAGGCTCAGGAGCTCCAAACACCGAACTTCCTGCAACGATGCAGTTTGCCCCCGCCGAAGCTGCAGCATCTATGGTTGAAGGTCCCAACCCGCCATCCACCTGCCAATCAAAGAAAAAAATGACAGTGTCAACACCATCCCTCGTATATCCATCTGTACATTGAATCGGAACTATAACGCGTACACTACATTGAGTTTGCACGTTCCTGCTAGCTTACAGAGATTGCATCTCAAGTCTACTTGCTAGATAAATCTGGTTTTTTGAACAAATTGTTTTATCATGGGAAAAAATTATGAAGACTTAAAAGACAGAGAGAGAGAGAGAGAGAGACCTCAATGTCAAGAGATGGGTACTTCTGTCTTAACTTCCGAACCTGGATAAGTTAAAATCGGTAAGAAGATTCAACAAGAGACGTCAATCAAACAATGCTCAAGGAATACTGAATATGTCGAAGTAATCGAACCTTGTCCATCGTTTCTGTCATGAACTTTTGGCCACCAAAACCAGGTTCGACTGTCATAACAAGAACCATTTCCACAGGATTTTCACTTTCTACCTGAAAATTGAAGAAAGAACAAGCATCACTTAACAAGTATAAATTTTTTGATGCAGAAGCATTTGCACAAAACCGTAAGCACTTTGCTGCGTTATATTAGATGCATCGGATCCTACAACATATCAATGAAAGATATGAAATTGGGAGAAGATGAGAGAATGAATTGCATACCAGAGCATAGACTTCTTCGATGGGTGTTCCAGGTTTTAGTGCTACTCCTGCCTTCATGCCCTTTGACTTAATTTCCTGGATCAATTGCTGCCAATTGTCTACCAGAGAAGAGGGAAATAAAACTTCAATTTCGAAGCAATAGAACTATAACGAATCTGAGGTCCAAACGCAATGTACCTTTGGATACTTCAACATGAAAGGTAAAGCCTGAAGCACCAGCTTTCGCCAAAGGTTCAACGTAATCAAGTGGATTTGTAACCATAAGGTGACAATCAAGATATGCCCTGCAACACAAGAAGTTTATTCCTCATTAAGTCAAGGTAATGCCATCGAACTCTAACAATTGGCCATTACAAAAAGTAATCCAAATTGCTGAAACTGATGAAGCAAGGAGGTTATGTTACTTCGTATGTTTTCTTAAACTCTCGATGACTGGGGCACCAATTGTCAGATTTGGGACAAAGTGCCTGTGGCAAATGCATAAACAACAAAATAGTCACTTAGCTAGCTAGACACAAGATATAAATCCAATGGAAACTTGAAGAGTTAGAAAAGCAAGCCCAAATTGTGTGTGTAATCCAGATTATGCACAAAGCACACTACCGAGAAATGATGCACAGTCCTGTTACAGGGTGAATTCAACCAAATGATAATGGTCAAATTTCATGGGGTCACCATGTCAATTTGTTAAAAGAAAAAACTTCGTGATTTTCTTAATTATTAGAAGTTTTCAGATGATTGTTAGTTTCAAACTGAAGAAAGTAAAGAGGTAAAAAGGTAAAAAGGGTGGTAGCAGAAAGAATGTGGTGAAGGTAGATCAATGAACATAGAAAGCCAAATAATCAAATCATAACTCATCCACGATTATCAGGGATCTAAACATTAGAACGGAGGAGATGGACAAGAAGTCAAGGAAAAGTTGATGGAGGTGATGCCTAGGGACGAGGAAGGGTGCAAACGTAAGACGAAGAATGCCAAGCTTCTTCAATCGAGATTTATAATATACATAACACTGAATTGATGAAAAAGTTAAGATATGAACTCGATCCAATCGAAAATACACAAGATCAATGTTTTATTTAACTGGTATACTAGCATGCAATATCCTTCTTGGGCTTCAGCGCAAGGTGCAAGAAAAGAAAAAGATTCAACTAGATGAAGCGCTCGATAACTAAAAAATGCATGCATACAAATATCGACACGTATATTATAAAACTAAAACTACATTCTTCTCAAGTTTCTACAGCCAATATTTACAAATAATCAAACATTTGGCTAGAAAGTAGGTGCTACAAGTGATCGACACTACACAGGTGAAGGTCAAGTTATTTTCAGGGAAATTCAATCCTATACTAAACAAATGACCAAAGTATCAAACCCATTCACATGAAGCACATTGCAGTTCAACAGAAGCATGATATCAGCAAAGAATGATCCTACCCATCCTGCAAATAAACCAACAAGAGATATCAGATGTGATATCAGAAAATTTTATGTGCAAAGAAATTGCAATTTGTTCAACCACGCCAACTCTAGCACATCTCAAACTTTGCAACCATGTCATTATAGCATCACTAGTTGGCTTATGCATTTCCTTGCGGTTTTCTCTACACTCTCACCAACCAATCAACAAGAAAGTGAAAAACGTTCTTTTAATAGGACTATAACAATTTTAGTATTCAGTTCAAAAGAAGTTGAACGTAGAAGTCTACTCGTGAAACAATCCATGGACTACCTTCCACTAAGATAAAGTACTGAAACAGCATAGATATAATTTTGTCGAGACCCAGAAAAGCATAGACAAATCATATGATTCAAACAATTGAAGCCGAGTAGATTTTGAACCATTTATATTAGATTAGAGCTAAATGGTGGAAAATCAGTCTCAGAAGGCAAAAAACTAGGATCAAATTGTTGGGTTATGAAACTAAACCGAAGGGGATCAAGAATCGGAAGCAATTTCGTCCAATTATAACTGAAGAAAAGGGACAATTCAGGAAAACAGAAACAGAGAGCGTGTGGGTACCATAATATCCATATGAAGCCAATCCGCACCAAATTTAAGCATCCGTTCGGCCTCCGAAGCTAAATTAGCAAAATCTGAGGATAGCATTGACGGTGCGATTTTCGCAGCAACTCCCATTTTCGTCCACCTCTTGCTCGGTTAGCCGATCAAAAACTCGAGCGATTCGTCTGCGAGGATTTTGAAAATATAGAATTAATTATCGAGAATGTAAAAAATGAACCCCCAATGCCAGATGCTTTTTCAACAAATGCGTCGCTTTTATAGATTATATACCAACCCCTGGCGGCTCGATTGTTGAAGATCAACTTTAGTGGGCTCTTTTTAGACCATCTGAAAGTGGCATCCCTCCTTTGCTACACTTTTCTCAAAATTTGTCGCATCTTCACAAGGTTATTCACTTCTTGCATCCTTCCACGACTCGACTGATCAAAATTTTCAGTTTCACAATGATTCTCCAATCAATGTTTTTTCTTATTCTTTTTAAAAATTTTGATTTAAATCTTGTGTTTCGAAATTCTTTGAAGAAAAAACCTTCTTGAGTTTTGAGTTTGAAGCCTCCTCCTGTAACACAAAAAATTGGCGGTTGGTGGAATTAGGGCGGGCTCGCCGACGTGTCGTAGATGTGGGAAGGGCAACGAATCAGAATCCGCTAATTGTCTTGATTTTGGTTGCAGGGTATCCCAGCCACAGGAACTGCATCACTTGCATCGTGGGCTTGCTGGACCCAAAGAAATCTGGGTCTTCACAACTAAGAAAATGGGCTTCTCAAAAGCTCATTGGTCTGTTGCGTGGAAAGCCCAATCCAATGGGCTGGTCTCTTACGTGGAAAGCCCAATCCAAGGGGCAGGTCTCTTACGTGGAAAGCCCAGTCCAATGGACTGGTCTCTTACATGGAAAGCCCAATCCAATGGGCCGGTCTCTTAAGTGGAAGCCCAAACCAATGGGTAGGTCTCTACGTGGAAAGCCCAATCCAATGGCTTAATCTACAAATATATAAGGATAATTAACGGTAAAATAACACTAAAATACTATATTCAAATACAAAATATAAATATAGTTTATGGATATCCAATTAAAAAAAAAAAAAAAACACTTAACCTAACTCTTTCATCTCCCTCTTATTCTTACGCGCGCCACGCCACGCTTCTTCTTCTTCTTCTTCTTCTTCCTTCTTCTTCCTTCTTCTTCTTCTTCCTCAAGCCGGCTCTTCCCCTGTTTCAGCAGCTGAGTGTCTCTGTCCTCCGCAGTCTTCTTTCGTACTTCCCGCCGAAGCCTCCTCAGCGGTTTGCGCTGATTCTCTACTCTTTTGTTGTTACTGGTATTCTCTCAATCTCCGTCTCTGTCTTTCTTCTCACTCTATAGGCAAGTACGATAAGCTCTAAGTCATCTTCATCAGATATCATTTTAGGTTCATTTGAAGTAGGACGGTTTCTACTTATCAAATATGGGTGTGAAAGGTACTTATATTTTTTTTTTTTGTAATTTATTCTGCTGATACCATTTGTTTGCTATTTGTTCTTGTTCATCCGTGTTTTTGAGTAACGAAACTCTTTATTGCCTTGATATCAGCCAAGAAACGGGATCTCAAGCTGAACCATGGGGATGAAGAAGAAGAAACTGGGAGGAATGCACTTCCAAAAACACAGGGGCAAGCCAAAGAGCATATTGAGCAGCTGCAAAGACTCCAAGAAAAGGTATTTTGGTTTTGTATATAAGTTATTCTCTCTATTTCCAGAGAAAACGATTACAATGACAAATATTTTCTGGCAAGTGGTAACTATAATACTTCCGGGTTAAGGCAAAGATATGGGCTATGATCTTATTTTAGTTCTTGGTCGATTTGTATGTCAATGTTATAGTGTTAGAGTTTTCTTCATGGGTTGGATTGAGAAACTTGTTGGACCCATCATCATATACTTTTAATGGTATATTTTTCTAGTGTTGTTAGTTTGGTGTACTCACAGTCGTAGCTTCTTAAAGTGAAGTCATTTTGGTGGGTTGAGTTTCCCTTTGAACATTGTACTATTAGTTGGAATGTAAATTTATCCAATTCAAATAAGTATAGTTCAATGATGAACCTAATGTAATCCAACTATGGAATATATTGGCTGATCGGATTAGTTTGGGTTATTTAGATAATTTATTAAAACTATGGAATATGTGGGCTCCTCTTGAAATCATTGGTGTTCATGACATTTTTCAGTATTACTACACCACACCAGTACTAGAACATTTACTAATTTATTGTTTGACCGTGCTTGTTCTTTTGAAACTTCCCAGAGAGAAAAAGAAAAACCTATTAGACCGATCTCTACGTCTGACAGTTTCGTGGAGGAAACAGTGTACATAGGCAATTTTTAGTTTAATTCTATTAAGACACAAATAAGGCTTTGCATCCTTGTTTAAGATATAATGGTGGTAATATAAATGGCATTTCCCCTCGAGTTATGGAGTTCACCTTGAGAACTTTTGGTTACTTTTTTGGCACAAATCTAAAAACTTGTGGAATTCAGTTTTTCTGCTACAGTATGGTCAAGTTGCCGTGAAAGAAATAGATGAAATTTTAAGGAGAAGGTTTTAGAAGCTCATATCTTTATCTGACTGTACTATTCATCTAGTTTCTAGATGGAGTGTCCAGCCCAAAAATTTGTAATTCTTTTTGTGGTTCAAGCCATATGGAAGGTTCTTATAACTCAGTGGGTGATTGGGAGAATGTCTTATTCTTCATTTTCTTACTCATGCTTTAGTTAATGAAAATTTTCCATATAGTTGTTTTTTTGTGCAATTGTTGTTTATATAATTGAAGGAGGAGCTAATGAATGTTGCAAAGAAAAAAAAAAAAGAGAATAAGGAGATAATGAGCATATTAGATCTACTTTTCTTCATCTATGCATTTTCTCCACATTTCGATTGAAGTTGTTTTCTTACAGGATCCCGAGTTTTTTGAGTTTTTGAAAGAGCACGACAAGGAGCTTCTTGAATTTGATGATGAGGATGTGGATGTAAGTTCACTTAAATTATTTGGGCTGCCACTGTCCAATGCTTGTTGTCTCAATTCCTTTGATTTTTGGTGCAGGAGGATGCTGATGATGGTGTGGAAGATGCAGAGTTAAATGAAAATGATAATAACTACGAACCTGGGGTTTCTGAGGAGGAAGAAAAACCATACAAAAAAGTTATAACTACGGAACTGGTTGATTCTTGGTGTCACTCAATAGAAGAAAATGGAAAATTGGCTGCTCTTCGTTCTCTTATGAAAGCTTTTAGGACTGCATGTCATTATGGTGATGACAACGGAGATGATTCTTCAATAAAATTTAGCACGATGTCCAGTAATGTTTTCAATAAAATTATGTTATTTGTATTAAGTAAAATGGATGGAATTCTTAGAAAGTTTCTAAAGCTTCCCAGCTCTGGTGGAAAGAAAGAGACCATACAAGAGCTGATGACCACAAAACAGTGGAAATCATTCAACCATATCGTGAAGTCATATCTTGGGAATGCCCTTCATATTCTTAACCAAATGACCGACACTGAGATGATATCATTCACATTGCGACGCCTCAAATATTCTTCTGTGTTTTTGGTTGCATTTCCTAGCCTTCAGAGAAAGTTCATAAAGGTATTCCCAACTTAATTCTTTTATGTTTAATTTTCAAGGTCCTTGTGATGTATATTCTAATTGTGCTACAATAGCCCAGTGGAGTGGCTAAGAATCGGTGGAATCATTATCTATTTCATTCACACAATATTGTTTCTTCATTATCAATTTTACAGAGAACATGATTTTATTATCTGAATTTTTCAGGTTGCCCTTCACTTTTGGGGTACTGGGGGTGGTGCTCTTCCTGTAACATCGTTCCTATTTTTGAGAGATTTGTGTATTCGACTTGGATCTGATTGTCTAGATGAATGCTACAAAGGGATGTATAAAGCTTATGTTTTGAACTGCCAATTTGTAAATGCAACTAAGTTACAGCACATTCAATTTCTTGGAAATTGTGTCATCGAACTTTTTCGTATCGATCTTTCGATTGCCTATCAACATGCTTTCGTTTTCATCCGTCAATTAGCAATGATCCTTAGAGAGGCATTAAACACAAGAACTAAGGTAACTATCTCTTAACCATTCTTATTCTTTTGTTTGATATTTATGTCCTCCAGTGGAAGGCTGGAGATATTGTTCTTGTGGTCTCTACCTTTAGGATATTAATTGTTGGCAATGCTCTGTTTTCATTTAACGCAAAACTGACAAGATGATGGGGTGAAAAAATTGGACTTAACTTGGTCAGAGGGTTTTATCAGAATATCCTAGAATGGTTGGGTTATAATCAGTTCAGTTTTTGTCTTGAACCACTGGAATGTTTTCTTTTTTGTTCGTTTCATTTTTCCCCATGTCCATGGCATATATTTTATCACTTCTCTAAATTCATTTCTTTAATTTGATGATTTTTACAGGAAGCCTTCCGAAAGGTTTATGAATGGAAGTACATAAACTGCCTTGAGCTTTGGACTGGTGCTGTGTGTGCTTATGGATCAGAAATTGATTTTAAGCCCCTTGCATATCCCCTGACTCAGATTATTTCTGGAGTTGCCCGTCTTGTTCCAACTGCTAGATATTTCCCTCTGAGGTTAAGGTGTATTAAGATGCTGAATCGAATAGCTGCTTCTATTGGGACTTTTATACCTGTTTCCATGCTTCTTTTGGACATGCTAGAAATGAAAGAATTAAACAGACCCCCAACAGGAGGTGTTGGCAAAGCAGTTGACTTGCGAACTATATTGAAGGTATTTTTTCAACCCTCAAAATTTTTTTGTTTTGTATTGCAGATTTTATATTTTCTAAGTATTATTTGTGATCTTCCGTTTATATGATTATTCCACTTTCCAGGTAAGCAAGCCCACCCTAAAAACACGAGCTTTTCAGGAGGCATGTGTGTTTTCGGTTATTGAACAGCTTGCCGACCATTTATCTCAGTGGAGTTATTCTGCCTCTTTTTTTGAGTTATCCTTTATCCCTGTTGTGCGCCTGCGTAGTTTTGCCAAGTCGACCAAAGTTCAGAGGTTTCAAAAGGAAACAAGGCAGCTTATTCGTCAGGTATACTTCTTAGGTGTTAGGAAATTTCTAGTGCAGATGTTTTCTTTTTCTAAACTAAAACTACTTATAGTAGAAGATAATCAGGGGCAGGAGTCGTATACAATTGTTTGGGGACAGGAGTTGTATTTCATTGATTGTGTGAGATTTTACAAAGGAAGGAAAGCCTATACATTAGCCCAGAAAGATAACAAAAAAGGTTTTCCAATTGGCCAAAAGAACGTTGAGACTCTAATTGTTTGAGTGAGTGTAACATTTGCACCAAGATAGAGAAACAATAAGAGAATTATCCATAGGCTTCCCAGTGTTGTTAATTTAACCAGAAGGTTAATTTAAGTATTTTGTAAACTGCAAAGTTATTGTACATTGACTTTTCACTTCTTTCTTACATAGGTTGAGGCCAATTCAGAGTTTACAAATGAAAGGCGTAAATCAATTTGCTTTTTACCAAATGATCCTGCCGTATCATCCTTTCTTGAGGTTTGGACTTTTGCTTTTGCCATTTGCATCTCTTTATGCTTCCAGAATGTTTATTTGTGCTCTAGGTTAACCATAGTTGATGTCAGTATTTCCTGAAAATGAACATGTTAATTTCGTAGTGATTGTATAAACCCTCGAGGATGGAATTGATGAATGCATGATGTGGATTGAAGTCTTTTTCTTGACACGATTATTAGTCTTCAGTCTAATTTTCTACTCCATCTTTCCATTGCTTTTAATTTTTTGGAAGCGTGTATGCCAGTTTCTTTCTGTAGTTCTTTTTAGCATTGGAATAGAACTATGCACTCCTATTGATATCTTTGTTTTATTAAAATTCTGTAATATATTCGAAAAACATAATCGATAAGTATTTGATTTTAGCACACCATTCCTTTTGTTTTAGGATGAAAAGAAGTCGGGGACCAGCCCACTGTCACAGTATGTCTCAACATTACGTCAAAGATCTCGGCAACTGACGGATTCTTTATCGGAATCTAGGTATATATTTCTCTGTATGGTTTAAACACCGTAGTGTAACCTATAGAATTCTGAAGATCTATTCTTATAGATTTAGTCATGTTATTATGTTAATCAATTTATTTATTCTAAACGAATGATTACAGTGTACTCGTGGGTGAACATGGATCTGTATTTGGGAAAAGTGGATCAGACAGTGAAGACGAGGATACCGGGGGAAGAGAAGGGACTTCTGTCTTTAGCTCCACCTGGTTGCCAGGAAGCGATTCCAAGTAAGTTACTACATGGTCAACATGGAACATTTTCATGCCTCTTCCACCATCATCTTGCTGGCTTTTCAACACAAAATGAACAATGATTGAACTTTATGATTGAACTTTATGATTGTTAGGGCGAAGCATCCAGAAGAAAAGAAAAGTAAGAAAAAAAAAAGAAAGATGGAGCAACAAGATAAGGCAGCTCCTAGAGACGAAGACGTGGTGGAGGACTTGGTGCTCAGTTCCGATGAGGATGACGAACCTTTAAATAACAGTTCTGCTGAAAGTGAAGAAGATGAGGACGTGAAATCTGTTAGAAAGCAAGCTCAGAAGCTGAAAGCGCCATCACGGGGATCAAAGAAGAAGAAGAACCGTTCGCCTGCAAATAAGGCAAAGAAGAGGAAAACGTCTCGATAAAAATGGATACGATGAGAAGCTACAACATAGCCCTAGCATAAACTCAATGAAAGAAATAGGTAGTTTTACCTTTGTTTTCTGGTCTTCACAGGTTAGTTCAAGCCGAAGTTAAGCATTGCAGCTGAATATTGGGAGGAAGCTTTCAATGGTCAATGTCTGTTTTGTGATTGAGAAAAATTGGAGAGAAGAACATGATTCACGGCTCATTATTTATTTATTTATGTTTTTCTTTTTCCTTTTGGACAGGCATATTGTACATTTTAGAGTGAGTGATGACCAAGTTTTATTAAACGTTGGGCAATGCCTAGAATTTTTGATCCATGAATGAATGGTTTTTTGAGGTTGAAATATGTACCAATGTTCTAGCCACTAATTGAAAATGCACTTTGGTTGCTTAAACAGAAGGACCCAATAATGGGTTGATGAGAGTGTTTGTAAGCTTCTAACCACTGATGAATCATGGTGACCATACACAAGACATAGCTTTGTTTCAACTCCAAGATTTCTCTTATCCCTTAAGCCAACCACATTTCGCTTTGCGGCAAGTCCACACATTTCAACATCGATCAAAATATACACAATCATAGCATTTGTTGAACTTTTGAAGGCCAGAAAAGAATGGGATCCTTTAAAATGGTGTGAATAAATGTGTATATAAAGAGGAGAAGGCATCAAAAACAGAGCAGGAGCAGCTAAGAAGATAGAGATGGAGGGATTAGGGAGAGGCTTGTTTGTTGTTATAGCTGCTGCAGCTTCAATGCTGGAAATGGGTTTGGCTGATCAAAGACACATGGTTGGGGGAACCCAAGGTTGGCAACAATCCATTGATTTCGACTCTTGGGCGGAAGCTCAGACCTTCAAAGTTGGCGACGAACTCGGTATATCTCTCTTCATCATCTTTTCAATTCCAAACCATATTTCATTGCATGTTTGTCTTCATATGTGTAACAAAATTTGGACAGTTTTCAATTACGCTTCGGGGCTGCACAGTGTGGTAGAGCTTCCGGACGAGAGTGCGTATGAGAACTGCGATATTGGGAGCGCCATCGAGACGAAGAGCAGCGGGAAGGATGGCATCAAGTTGACGAAGCCGGGAACACGATACTTCGCGTGCGGCACCATGGGGCATTGCAGCCAAGGCATGAAGGTCAAGATCAAAATAGCCACTGGCACAGCTTCCTCTACTCCATCTCATCCTTCTTCTTCTTCATCTTCTTCGCATTATTCTCTTCTGGGTTGCTTCCTCATCATGGCTTCCTACGCCTTGAGGTTCATGTTATGATCAAATCCTTAACATCCTCTCCATTCTTTTAAACCAGTTTTTGGGTTTTGTTGTCGGGTTGATTGGTTCTAACCCTTGTCCTGTTTTCATTATTTCTATTTTATTATTATTATTATTATTATTGCTAAGATATTATTTGGCATTTATTATATTTACGTGGATTATTAATATAAATGAGGCAAAGGTTTTTTTTTTCCTAGAGTTTTTGGTCGTGAGCATGTATTATATTTTACGCATTAGTTCTAATACTAACCATACCAACTATAAAAGAATCGATCTTTTTTTTAGTTATTAAATCTCTCTTTGATTGATCAATGTGTGATACTATAATGGTCCGACTCTAATACCAACCTGATGCCACCACTAATAGATATTATTAAGACTAACAAATATTGTCAATCGTCGTTAGCCTCGCGATTTCAAAAGACGTCTTCCATGAAAAGGTTTCTACACCCTTAAAATGTTTTATTCGATATGAAACCTCAAATATTAATCTATAAACATGATAATAGATACAAGAAAATATTGAGTCCAACCAATATTGAACTCGAATCACAATTTTTCATTCAAATTTTCATACTATAGATTAAATTTGAAACTTACTAAAAGCTCATAAGACCGTACTAGAAGGAAAATAAGGTAAATTTTATTAATTAACCACAACTGTATATTTCAAAGACAGAAAAAAAGAATCAAAATTGAACGGACTATCCAGTTGTTTATTGTAAAATTTAATAAATAGAACACAAAATTTGGTGAAGAAAAGAAGAAGAAACTAACGGTGGAATGCAGCAGAAGGAGGTGTAATTTGCTTGTCATCTGAGGAAATGGCAAGCAAATTCAGGGCACTTAGTTCCCTTTGTGGTTGCTTTTGATTCTGGTCAGATGAGGAAATGCAGTCAGGATGTTATATGGCCTTAAATCCTGCCTCGTCAATATCCCAATTACTGGAGGAACCTGCACAATCAAAACAACCCTTTAATTAACCCTAATTCATTCGACACAGAGCTCTGTTTCAGGCCTGCAATGGATGTGTACAGAGGAGGAAGAAGAAGAAGAACCAGAGCTTACCCCAGCTGCTTCATATTTGGGCACAATCAGCAAATGCCGAAGCCCCACTTGCCGGAACAGAACCAGAGCTTTGGCCACCGACATGCTTTCAATCACTGTATACGGCGTTGTGTTCGTCAGAGGATGAAGATCAACGTACATTTCCATCTCCTCCTTCGTCACTGCAAGTTCCTCGATCTTCCCTTCCCTCTCCGCTAATTCAACCCATGTAAATTTCTCCCTCACTTCCCATTCCTCCGTCCTCCTCCTCTCTCTCAAGAACCATTTCTTCTTCAGCAACTGCAGCAAATGCTTTCTCAATACCACTCCGTGCAGCTCCGTCGCGCCCACCGCCATCCCCACTGGCGGCACCACCGCTTCCGCGTCCACTACAGGGAATCCATTGTGCGTCGTGTTCTTAAGAACCTCTACAATCCGAGACACCTTCTCCAATCCCCGCAGCGTTACCACCGCCGGTTTTGCGTCGGCGAGATCGCCGACCGTGATGTTCCTCATCCACGTCTCCGGATTTGCGTCCAGGAACGGAAGCCCTTTCAAGTGCAGAATAATCTCATAAATACTAGGGTTAAAACTGTCCCCGACGGTTTTCGATATCAGAAGGACAATCATCGTAATCGGAAGCAGGAGGAGATTATTCGTGAGCTCGAGGAATATAACACAGAGCGAAACCGTCATCCTCATCGAGCCGGACATTAACGAGGCAGCTCCGAGAACAGCCAAGAGTCCTTGATCGAGATTCGTGTAGGGTTTCATGAGAAGGCCGATGAGTCGGCCATAGCCAGAGCCCATCAAGATGATCGGAAGGAAGAGACCGGAGGGGACGGCAATGCCGAAGGTGATTAACCCTAAAACGCAGTAGAGAAGGAAGAAGATCACAAGGGAAAGGGGCTGGAACTCGGCCGGAGTGTTGATGGAGAAGATGTTTCGAACGGCGTCGTCGTTGGTGGTAAGGAGAAGGGTAGCGAGGTCGTTGTAATGGCCTTTTGGACAGTTGAATTGCTTGAAGTTGCCGGAGCGGCCATTGGTGGGGCAAACGGAATCTGGAAGAGAAGGGTTGCAGGGAGTGCATTGGACAAGGTAAGGGAGACTGTACTGGCAAATCGAAGTGAATAGCGAAACTCCTAAGCTTAGTAACAGCTTCTGCATTTTTCCCTTCCTGCAAATACCATTTGATTTCAATGAGATCCATTGATGAGGAAGAAGAAGAAAATTGAAAGCAAGATTGCTTACTGGTTTATGAGGTTGTAAACTCTCAGAACTTTGTGCAAAAGATGGTTGTAAAGACTCCCAAGGAACCCACCAAGAAGGCCAATGATAGCAACTGGTATGATGTCCATAATACGGTAACTCACAGAAACGCCACTGACATCAAACATTATAAGCCCTCCTTCACCAAACAGCCCACAGTCACCAGCCTTGCATACTTCAATGAATGTTCTTAGCACCACCACAACAATGGCTGTGCTAAAAAATGTCCTCCACAGCAAGGCACTCCTCCACCAAGTAGCCACCTCTTCTAGAGCAAATAGAACACCCCCAACTGGAGCTCGGAACGCTGCACAAACCCCCGACGACGCCCCGCAAGTGATGAGATCTCGACGATCCCGATCGTTGTTGAAATAGCGTAGCCATGTCCATTTCACTCGATAATTATCGGTCCCGCCTTGCCCAAGTAAGGAGGCAATGCAGCTGCCAATGTGTACTAGAGGCCCTTCTTTCCCAAGATCTAGCCCTGCTGCCACTGCCCCAATGCTCCCAATTATCTACAATGAGCTACAGATCAGTCTCATTTACAGAATCTATTTTGAATCTTAAGGCTATCCACGACATATACGCACCTTAACGATCAGCGTTGTGGCGCCAAACATATTAGGAGTATCTATGCCATTGAGATAGGCTTTGATTTCCGGTATGCCAGGCCCAGCTGCAGTGGGAGCAAACCATACACAGAGAACAGCAGCAACCAAAGTGAGAAGGAAATTGGCAGTGGTAAAGTAGGCGAACCCCATCAAGTATCTGAATCCAAATCAATACAAAATCAGAAATTTTGGGTTCATGAAATTCCTCGTTTTGCAGACGAACAAAACCATGTCCGATTGGGGGGATGTACTAAATACTAACCTTTCTTCTTTTATGTATTCAACCACTTTCAAAAGCTTGTATCCAGCAATGTTTTCAATGGCGAGATTGATGAGAGTAGCAATGATTCCTGTAAGGAGTCCAACAAGACAAGCCAATGTCCATTTCGAGAATATGTACTGCAACACTTGAACTCTGGATCTGCTTCTCCAATCATGTTTAAACAGATCGTTCTCATTGATCCTGAATTCAAACCAAATCCAATTCAGAAAATATGAGAATTCAATCCAAAAAGAAAACAAAAAACAGGGGATGTTCTGTTTGTGTTGTGTTATATTACTCGTAATCCAAGCTCTCGATCAGAGAAACTTTGGTTCCAACAATGGCGAGAGGACTGGAAGAGAGAGTTCTGCTTCTCTTGAGAAGGGGTTGGTTTAATGGATTGCTTTCTGGGTCTCTGTCTTCTTCTTGAGGCTCTGCTTCCATGGCGGTTGTGAGCGTCGATTCTGAAACAAAGCTTGAATTTTCCTCCATTGAAATGAACACACACACAGAGGAGAAGCTTTGGGGAGGGTGGTTTGTGGATTGGAACACAGCGCAGAGCTTCTCCTCTTTTCTTGGACTTTTAATGGACCAAATTTATCTCAATCATGCATCTGTCTTGTCGCATTCTCGCCTGTGGCCATTAGAACCAACCCTTGGTTCTTTTTTTACTATTTTTTCTTCTTTATTTCATTTCATGTTTCTGCCGTATTCTTTAGCCTTCTACAACCCAACTTGGCACTCATTCGATCATTTTGATGATTCCTCAATTACATTAATAAATTTATATAATTAAATTAATTAATAAACAAATAAAGCTCGTCTCCCACACAAACATTGTGATTATCCGCTTACTTGTAAAGGGGCAAGTTTCCTCCCATTTTAAATGCTAAATTGTTATTCATAGAATAGGAACTGCTTTTAATAAAAATATCAAAACCCATCTTGTAAATTCATTAATATATATATACTATAATATTGAAAATATGGAGACACAAATAAGATAAGATATTTAATACAAGTATAGTTTTTTCGGTTGAAAATTATACTACATGTATTCAACGAGATCTATACGTCTTAACATGCATAATCACATGTGCCATGTGCTATCATGTGCTATACTACGAGTATAGTAATAGCTTTAAAAATATACATTTAAAAAAAAAAATTAAATATTATAAATATAACAAAATTTATTTCATCCTATTATCTCTCATTTTTGCAAATATTATTTCTCATGAGGAGCAAGCTGGACCCACGAGTTGGAGATGGGCACAAATTGCTAATGATTGGAACACGTGGTGCGATCTACACCGATGGATTAAGATGAATGGACGGTGAATCATAAATGGATCTTCGGTGGTTACGTACAAGGTAGCCTATTTAAGTTTTACCATATGTGATTTCAATAATTTCGGCCAACAAAATTATAGCTTTATTTATATATTCTTATGGCTTCATTTGCGTGTCCACCTATCTATGTAGACCGACGTGGAGCTCATGGGTAGTTTTTCAAAGCTAAAATCAATTTATATCTTTAAAATTTTATTTAATAAAAATCCTAAATTAATAATTATATTAATTCTGAATTTCCATTTCTTAAAAAGTGGGTAAATGTGTAATTATATTTAAATTAATTAATTATTAGTTTATGAATATAATTGACTATGGAATGTCGAAATAAGTACTTTTTTATTATTGTTGTTTTAAAGATATAATAATATTTAAATGGGAAATATGATTGTAAGCCCTCAAAATATATTATAAAGTAATGAAAACAGAAAACAAACGATGGAAAAGTACGTTCTTTTTTAGGAAAAAAATATTTTCACGTACAAAAAATATGTATTCTGTTTTAAAAATATAATAAAAGTAGGGAAAATAATGAAGATCGAAATTAATGAGAGGACACGTCAGATCCACGTAGGATGAGATGTCATTGAAAAATGTGCGGATGGGCTGTGTGAGAGTCCCCATGAAAGGTCAGAAATTTGGATAAATCACAATTATTAAAGCAATTATAATTTAATCGAGCCCTTTTTTTCTATTTTTAAATTCCAACAAATAACCACGGATTGCACGAGGAAGAAGAAAAAGACACAAACTGTGTGGTGACTGGTGAGACACGTAGGAACATTGAAGATTGTAAACCGAAAGCAAAACGGTGCGTTCTCGTGACGCCCCTTCCTTCACCCACTCCATTTCACTTTTTTTTATTTTATTTTATTTATTTATTTATTATTTTCTTGGTCTCAAATGAATTAAAGAATAATGATTTAATGATATATTTCAATGTAAGTACACGAAACTTCATTGCAATGAGTGAATGTGTTTGAATAAGTTATAATAATGTTCATCACATCATTTTATATAACACAAATTATTTTTAAAAAATATATGTGGACTATACTTTTAAAACCTTTTAAATTTGTTTGAAAGTCTAAACACAAAATAATGTGTGGTTCGAAATACTTGTACATGATCCGAAATATGTGATGGAAATAATCAAGTTTTTATTAGCGTATATTGTCGATAATTATCCAAAAAAATTAAATATTTATTATGAGAGTTGAAATATTAAAATAAAATATTTGAAAATTTATACACAGTAATATATTAATAACATCAACCCTACTCAATACATGTGTATTATTTAATATTTATTATACGAGTATCGACTTAGTGTCTTTTTGTCTTTTTAAAGATTGAATTAGGGGTTTCAGGGTCTTCTCGAGCCACGAACAAGTGAAGTACAGCCGAGGCTCATCGTTAGCTAGCCTTAGCCACATTAACTTAAATCGAACTAAGCATGGAGCTTTTAACCCAATTAGGATGTGGACTTTCTTTAATCCCAATCATTTTTAATTTTTTTTTTAATTCAAATTTATTTCTAAAAATTTTAGATCGTACATAAAAAAAAAAAAAAAAAAAAAAAAAAAAAAAAAAAAAAAAAAAAAAAAA